CGAGAGAGACAGAGAGAGAGAGAGAGAGAGAGAGAGAGAGAGAGAGAGAGAGAGAGAGCGATAGTAGTGGTGGTAGCTAGCTACTGCGTCAGTTGCCTTGCGTCAGCGTCAATCTACACATATATTTGCAGACATGCTGCGTCTGACGCTGGGATTGTTCGCCGCAGCATTCTTCCTCTTCATCATCGCATTCATGACGTCATGCGTCAGCTGCCTGCGCTACTCGGCCGGATGCAGCTCCACATCGGGTACAGTCGTCCTGTTCGCCGGTAAGCACGTGGCGCCATCTACTGACGCTTTATTACTCCCGGCGTGATGTTCGTTCTTGGCAAATCTTATAAGTTTTTTTATGACAGAGCTTTCTATTCGATGTGAGCTCGTGGCGCCCTCTTGGTGCTATTCGTGTGAATACTGTGTAAATAACTACGTGTTTCTACCTTGTAACACGCATAATGTGTAAATATCTACGTGTTTCTACCTTGTAACACGCATATTGTGTAAATATCTATGTGTTTCTTCCCTCTAATACGGATACCGTGTATTATTATACATGTTTACACCCTATAACACACATACCGTACATCTATCAACGTTGTAATACCCTGTAACACACATACCATGCATCTATCAACGTTGTAATACCCTGTAACATGCATACCGTGCATCTATCAACGTTGTAATACCCTGTAACACACATACCGTGCATCTATCAACGTTGTGATACCCTGTAACACACATACCATGCATCTATCAACGTTGTAATACCCTGTAACACACATACCGTGCATCTATCAACGTTGTAATACCCTGTAACACACATACCGTGCATCTATCAACGTTGTGATACCCTGTAACACACATACCGTACATCTATCAACGTTGTAATACCATGTAACACACATACCATGCATCTATCAACGTTGTAATACCCTGTAACACACATACTGTGCATCTATCAACGTTGTAATACCCTGTAACTTACATACCGTGTATCTATCAACGTTGTAATACTCTGTAACACACATACCGTGCATCTATCAACGGTGTAATACCCTGTAACACACATACCGTGCATTTATCAACGTTGTGATACCCTGTAACACACATACCGTACATCTATCAACGTTGTAATACCCTGTAACACACATACCGTGCATCTATCAACGTTGTAATACCCTGTAACACACATACCGTACATCTATCAACGTTGTAATACCCTGTAACTCACATACCCTGCATCTATCAACGTTGTAATACCCTGTAACTCACATACCGTGCATCTATCAACGTTGTAATAC